CAATAATATATTTGTGCATCATTTATCCAAGTAAGGTGGTAGACTTGTTTTATGGGAGTTATGCAACAGTCTGTTGGGTTGTTCATTAGGTTGTGGATATTTTTTGTCAATAGTTTCACTTAAAGCAGTTATAATGTTATTGATTGCACCCTGCCAAATTTTTTAGACTGTTGTACAAAATGTATAAGTATTATTAGTAGAGGCACTTGTATATAAAATAATAACTTAAAATGTTTTAAAGTACAAATAACAGTCATCAATAAGAAGTTGTCTTTGAATATACTCAACCATGGCTTTCTATTTGATTAATTTCACATATTTAAAATGAACAAATAAGGTTAAAAAATGTTTCAGACTAAACCTCAGGATCAGACAAAAAGTTTTAAGTGTAGTTTGATTTTTAAATAAAAATTGCTTAGTGATCAAGGGAGGTAAATGAGATTTTTTTAGTGCTGTACAATTCTCAGCTTGATTTAATGTCAATGAATCAAATCCCAAATTGCATTTTAATTTCCAATTGATTTTCCAATGTCCAACAGCATGTTCACATTCAATAATGAATTCTCTATGCTTGTGTGAATGAAACATTGTCCTCTAATTTGTTTTATATTCATAACAATAAATATGTCAAACACATTTACCAGCTTTATCTCTGTTTTTATTTTACTCTAGCCATCAGAAAAATTGATTCTGTCTCTTGCCTTTTATATACAATTTCATTTGATGGAAAAGTCGATGGAATGCTGAATCTGAACAAAATTTCAGCTTTTGAGTTTAACTTTGATCAATATGTAAACTGGTTGCTTATAGTTAAGGGTATATTTGACATTTTATATTGTAAAGAGCACTTGACTCCATGCAAAAATGTTGAAGCACTTTCATGTGAAATGTCTCAAGAAAATGCTAAAAATGACCACTTGCCCAAAATAATATTTTATGGTGAGTTCGAGCATGGAAGGCGTTTTGCTCATGGACAGAAGAAATGCTTTAAAAACAACCTAAAAGTCTCACTGGAAGTGTTCAATATAGACATGGTCACATAAGAAGAATCGGCAAAGGATCCAGGATCGTGGCGTTCCTCTGTAGATAAGGCTCCATGCAAAATGAAGCCAACTGAACAGCGGCAGCAGAACACAAAAGACCTTCCAGAAAAGCCTGGGTTAACTCTGCATCTAGAGATGTCCATCAATTCCCTGCACTTACTGCACAAGAATAAAACGTGCCAGAATCTGCCTCATCAGCCCTCTACCCACAGTCAAGTTCAGTCACTGCATATTTGATGGTGTACATGTGGCTTTTTTAGTGACAAAGCTGTGTATTCCACATTTAAAAACTTAAAGATAAATAATTTAAAAAAATTGACTCTGATTGAATTTTTTAAAAAATGATTTAATATAAAGACTAGTGGATTAAGTCACAGGGCATTTAGATCAAACTCTTAATAAAATAAATACAAAAATAATGCAAAATATCAAATAATAAATATGTAATGATACAATAGAAAAGACAAGATTTAAAAGGCTTTACCAATAGAACCTTTTTATATTAAATTATGTATGTGTAAAATAGTTCAACAATCAAAATTGGTCCAAACCTTGGTCCCCCATGGTTTAACATTACAAAAGAAAATTGTTATAAAATGTAATTAAAGCTTCTGAATCATGAAAACACCAGTGTTAATCTATAGTATAGGCCTATTAAAAAAACACTTGGTTGTTGGATGAAATGTAAAATTTACTTGTACATATCAAACATCAGTGTGGAGTAGTGGTCTCTACAAGAGTTATTTCTTATTAAATTAAATATATCACTCAAAAAAAAAATACATAAATCAACAGGGAAAAATATTCAATTTCAAAATAGCAAAAACACAATGATTATGATTGGCCTGTGGTTAGTAATATAAAAAATAAATAAATACATATGTTCAATTATGACAGGTTGTAATTATCAGTTGTTGATTATGCAAAATATTTTTTTTAAAAATAAATTTATAACAGAGTTTCCTTAAGTCCCGACGAAAGTAAGATGCTACAAAAAATTTTAAAATTGGACAAGTTCCGATACTATAAGTTAATAAGACAGAATCAAATAACAAAAATGCACTTTAAAGTGAGAAAAAAAGTCAATTTCAACGAAGGAAGGCACACAACAGCTGTGCTCTGATCAAAATTAGCAATGCAGGTAACAGAGCTGATTTTAATTTTTAAAAAAGAATAGTTTTTGTTTTCAAATATTAATCTTCAGTAGTCTCAATGCTGCCCATGCTAAATTAAAAACATTTTCTAGTTTTTTCTTTTAAGAGGCTTTAACACTTTATAAGTCATAGGCACTGGGAAATGTAAGCATTTAATGTCTTTGTAGTATCAAGTTCATAAAAATAAATTGTATCAATTCCACAGCTATCTCCATTCAGTATGCATAATTAATAATAATAACTGAATGAATCAACTGAATGAATCATTTGATTAAGTCCATTTCAGGTTTGCATAGAAGGAATAGGTCACCCCTAACAGGCATATGAGAAGGGGAAAACCAAGTACAACAGTAATAGAGACAATCTGATGTAGGTATTTGAAAAAAAATGTACATTCATTAAATAAATATATCATATATTATATTATCAAAGATGCAGGCAGAAAAAAAAAATCTCCTTTTTGAAATGTTGATAGGAGTGTGTAGAATTTCTGCATTTACTCTTGTGTTCTCTCATCAAGAGACTTTTGCCAAACTGATCCTGTCATTACCATCATGCCAGGAGATCTATCACCTGACCCATCTGTAGAGATCATTCCTTTTCAACATACAGTGGACATTTAGAGATTACAAAATTGAATTTTAAATTATTGCAAATTAATATACTATTTACATTACTAGTAGACAGTAGGATCAATCAGGCATGCATAACTAATCTATCAATTAATCAGGCACAATGGTTAATCTGTCACACAACTTACTTATGTATTATTCATTCTGAAGCATTGACTAAATCGATCACCCATTCTGCTACTTCTTTCACTCAATCCAGCACACCTATTCTATCAATCAATCTGGCACATCAACTTAATCTATAATACAATCTGGCACACCAACTAATTTATCACTCAATTCAACATACCTACTTATTCTATCACTCAATTCAGCACATCAGTTTAATCTGTCACACAATTTGTCACATCAATTTGATCTATCACACAATCCAGCACTCACACCTACTTAATCTATCACACAATCCAGCACTCACACCTACTTAATCTATCCTCATCATTCCACCATTGTTATAAAAAACTACCTAGATAAGAAGATGAGGGTAGGAAGACAACTTTCTACCATGTTCTAAGAAAGGTTGACAGACCCTGATTTTGTAGCAATATCAAACGGAACCACATAAAATAATACATTAAACAATTATTTCTTAATTGTTCAAATAGAGAAATTTTCAATATCAACTTGATCATATTTCTCCCCAAACATTTCTGTCCAGGTGTAATTGCTAATGTCCACTATCTGTCGCAGCCAGTCTGAAGCCAGGGCCTGTCGCAGACTGTAACGAAGTTTTGGATCCGTCTTAAGTAAGCCAAACATCAAGGTCATCAAATCTAAAGATTCAATAGGGGAAATAGGCATTGAGAGGCATACACAATAGAAATTGATTCTCTATACACAGCCATTTGGAGGAGGCTGTTACTTGGCAAATGTTTCGTCCCAGCTACCACATGAACTATTTGCTATGTAGAAACCCATTGTAGAAAACCCTATTAGAGGGGGTCTGAGGCTTCCCCTGGATTGGCAGGGGGGAGATATTAGGACAGTAAATATACCATCCCAACTCCTGTGAAAGTCGAATGTTGATGTTGGTAAAGCAACATTACTGGCCGACAGGAAATCCTTAGGTTGAGACGGGTACTTTGGGGAGGAAATTAAGAGCTTTAAGCTTGACGGCTCGCTGATGCCAATGCCTAATGTACATATTGAAATATACAGTTCTCAAGATGAGAGGCTCGCACTGGTTCAATCAGATGTGAGTCAATCTAAGCAATAGAAGAAACTAATGATGATCCATGAAATCAGCTCAACAAGTAGAGACCTGAAAGCCAACTTCTTTAATCAAGAGAAATAAAGTCAGGACTCAGGTTGTAGCAATGAGAAATAGCAGTTGAAAGACTAGTTGAAAAGAAATGGTAGACATAGTCAATTACGCAAGTGACCCGTTATCACTGTTTTAACAATGCAAAATCAATTATTGAATTCGCAATTTAAAAAAGCTATCAAATTTTGTAGAGAAATGTTCCAGACGTAAATTTTGTTTCTTAGGCTAGTCTATAGACTATTCATGCCAATAGAAAAAATGCATGAGAGAGCCATCTGGGCTAGTCCCTAGTTAGTTAAGATGGACAAGTCAGTCCAGGGGCAGTTATCCTTGGGGAGGAGAAAAACCCCCCAAAAATACTTCAAACACCAGTGGGATTAACAGGCTCAAATGGACACTGACCAGGGTTCAAATAGCTAGAAGTTCTGGGTTAACTTGGTATATAACATGGTACTATGTAAAAATGGTGTAATTTTATCTACAAATATAAAAATGGTGTAATTTTATCTACAAATATAAAAATGGTGTAATTTTATCTACAAATATAAAAATGGTGTAATTTTATCTACAAATATAAAAATGGTGTAATTTTATCTATAAATATAAAAATGGTGTAATTTTATCTACAAATATAAAAATGGTGTAATTTTATCTACAAATATAAAAATGGTGTAATTTTATCTACAAATATAAAAATGGTGTAATTTTATCTACAAATATAAAAATGGTGTAATTTTATCTACAAATATAAAAATGGTGTAATTTACATTGAATTTTATTTTTTTAAGCTACCAGGAAATGTAAAAATGGCAACCAATTGAATCGGGGCCATTGATATATAACGCAAGCAAGAAAAAGTCTAACCACAACTTTAAACGATGTCACTGTAAACCGTAAGCATTTCTTTACCTTCTGAAATAGGACCTGGCAGGTGCTCAGGCAATAGTTCCCCCGGACCCGTCTCGACTGTAAATGGATTTTCTCGAAACACAATTGTGAAGAGTGTGATGCCCAGTGCCCAGACGTCTTGCTCGGGACCAAGGTAGCTGAGAATGTAAATGTATGCGAGGCGTTCAGAGGTCCCCCTAGTGAAAGGTTTAAGCATCTTCCCCAAAACCAGGACATTTTCAAAAACCTATTCATTTATTACATTTGGGGTTCATTTCTTTTCATCGTTTCCTAATTAAGATAAATACAACACAATTTCTCCAGATTCAGCTTGGGGTGTTGTACTACTACAAAGGATGACAAAGGTCAGATACAGCAATGACACATACCCTTCACCGTTCCAGACCTCTGGGCTGCAGTATTCCATGGTCCCTCTGAACTTGGTGTACTGCTTTCCTTCAGGCAGCACATAGGCAGATGATCCAAAGTCAATCAGTTTACACTGGAACTGTGAGTTGATGATGACATTTTCATCCTTGATGTCCCGGTGGATTATACCATGCGAGTGAAGGTACTCAACAGCCCAGATAATCTGAAAATAGAGACCATTGTATTATATCTCAATCTAGATGTTACCATGTATTATGCAATAGGTGTGAAGAACTTCATGACCCAAACTTGATAGTTGAGCTATTGACTGTCTTGGAGTCTAAGCTATCATCTTGATTTTCTCTCTTATTTTCTGAGCCTGGTATCTTACAAATGGCATAGATTTATGATTCAAAACACTTAAGTCTTGTTCTAGTTTTTCTGGTAGCTGTAATTAATTTTATTGTATGGAAATGTTATTTTGTAAGATTGTATAAAACAGCATTTGTCAGTTGTACCGAGTGTTGAACTGAGATGCCACAGTACTTCAGAAAACAGAGTTTTCAAGATGATTTTGATCATTTGAGATCTTTAAATGATCTTAAAACCCTCACTCAAAACTAAAACACGGTAGGTGTCTGCTCTTGGTAGCTCTGAAATGGTCTCATTTTCATAAAAACAGATACTACAGAACTGACCTGTCGGAATAAGTGGCAAGCCATCGGCTCATCTATGCAGGCCTGATCAATAAAATCGAACATGTCGATCTCCCCGAAATCTTCCATGACCATCTGAACAAAGTTTGGGTTTTCATAGACGGCCAGCAGCTGGATGGAACGACAGAATCAAATAATAAACAGAACAAACATTTCATAACACTCATCTGATGTAATCTAATGGTCTCGTAGATTAACACTATAACAGTAACATAATGTCTAGTGCCGGTGGCTTCATGGAAGGGCGGCAAGTTGGATGGCAACAGGATTTGTATTTCACAGCCTCCTCCTCTAATTGGATTAAAATAAATAAGATATTGTTGCTATTGGGAATAAAAGATAATAATTTATGGACTATCTACCTTATTTTTCACAATACCAATATGTATATTCTTTCACTTCCTGTAATCCTACTTCCGGCAACAAAAGGAAATTTCTAAAAACAATTTTTCAATGCTGATGAAGGCTCCAAGTTGAAACGTCCAAATCGTTTGTCCTGTCTATGAATTCAAGTTTAGCATACCCTTGTTTTTATATTTCATTGGCTATTGGGAACATTTATTGCTGCCCAAACACTCTCAAGGGTTAGAGGAACAAAGACAAATATATCACTGCATGCTATTCTGTCACAAGCAAGATAACCCGTCCCATGCACAGAATATACAAAATAATAGACAACTCTTTTTTTAACTGCCCTTTTTTTTAATGGTCCAACCTTTAGAGATACCCTTTGGTCATGTGTATTCAGGTTCATGTAATCTTTACTTCATCCACAAAGTACCAACCCACACTACAACCAGTATCAACCCCCACCATGACCAGTATCAACCCCCCACCATGACCAGTATCAACCCCCCACCACGACCAGTATCAACTCCCACTATGACCAGTATCAACCCCCACCATGACCAGTATCAACCCCCCACAATGACCAGTATCAACCCCCACCATGACCAGTATCAACCCCCCACAATGACCAGTATTCCAGTATCAACCCCCACTATGACCAGTATCAACCCCCACCATGACCAGTAACAACCCCCCACAATGACCAGTATCAACCCCCACCATGACCAGTATCAACCCCCCACAATGACCAGTATCAACCCCCCACAATGACCAGTATCAACCCCCCACCATGACCAGTATCAACCCCTACCATGACCAGAACCTCCACTATGACCAGTATTCATGACATATCAAGTAACAACTTTTATAACATGATACCTAACCAGATTTTGTATAGTTACAATTTTTAATAGCTTTACTATATTGAAAAGATTTTTGCTAATAAATTATTTTTCGCAAGTTAGCTTTGATGCATCAGAAAAAAAAATAAAAAATTAATTGATAGTTAAATTAAAAAGTTGGAAGAGGTATTTTCATTGGCCTTTGAACCACTGAGGGGAAATGATGAAATGCTCACTTTGATGATGTAGTCACAGTCCAAATCTCTCAACATGGCCACCTCCATGGGAATTCTCCTCTCTGACTCAGAGTCGTAGACCCAGGCGTCATCAAACATTTTACTTTTATTGATAAACTTGACGACAACCTGCAGGAGCAGATGGCACAGTTATGTCATTCAAACGGGTGGGCACGTCATTCAAACGGGTGGGCACATCATTCAAACGGATGGGCACGCCATAAAAAAAAGATGACTACATACATCATGAAACAGTTTGGGTTGTTTTGCCATAAAAAATGTGGGACTGTTAGGTCATAAAACAATATTCTTTACTGCTTATGTCAATACTACTAAGTTGACGGATCTCAAGCTTTTCTCTGAAGATCCCCAAATTGCACCAAGGGAAGTTTTGCCTTGGCTGACTAGTTGACATCAATTTTAAAGGATTTATAAGCAATGAAGCTTCACATTCTGGTTTGAATTTTTAATTCTTTCATAAAAGAGACAAACATGCATTTTTAGAAATATTTAAGTCCAACATTTTAATACAATAAAAGTTGGTCAACTTTTGGTTTATCACACACACTTGTGTGGTATATAAATGGCCCCATTTAAGTGCGTTTTGCCTACTTTGTAGATGACAGTCATAAAGAATATTTGATTTTTAAACATTGATAAAAACTTTGATTAAATCTCTTGGGAAGAATTATTAAAGAACACATTAGATGTATGAGTTCAAAGACACAGGGATAAGGGCAAAGGTCCTCACACTTTTGCTGGAATCGACACTGTGAGCTCTGCGCACAAATCCGAAGCTGCCTTGACCCAGTGTTTCACAGACAATATATTTCTCGGAGAACTTTCCAGCCATGGCTGCTTCCAGATCCAGCATGTCTTCTCCTGATGCTGCATTCTGGGACTGGTTCAGGCCAGCCTGGTCAACAATCAACTAAATTGATTAAAAACATTTTTTTAATGAAAAAAAAGCCTGTTTATATAAAGAATTCTCAAACTGGCATTTCTAACTGTGTGTTAGTTAAACAAAATTAGCCCATTAATTGCAAGCACCTCAAGTGACTACTCTCTACACTCTGTTTTGACCTCTCTCTACTGCCCTATGCTCTCTAATGCATTACTACATCCTATCATGTCCTCTCTTGCCAAACAGTTCTGACTCAGAGTGGACTTCTTACATGCATATTTTATACTTTTCTTGGTTTTCATCAAAATTCTTATAGCTGAGCTCATGACTGACTGTCACTCACAAGTTGCTGAACTCCTGAGTGACTGTCACTCACAGATTTTCTTCACCCAAAACAAAACAAATTGATCAAGGGTTATATCTCTCACCATTTTAAACCTCTTAAAAGATAATAACATTCATGAACTATTTACCTGGCCAAGACTGGCATCAACAGACTGGTCAAAATGAAGGTTTTTCATTCGCCTCCTTAACTCCTCTTCATCACAAGACACCTCCTCTTCCTCTTCATCACTGACCAGGTCATCCTCTTCATCCTCATCTGAAGTGCTGCTGTCATCAGGGCTTGTAGGCTGAATGTAGAACCAAAGGCAGAACAGCCAACAATTTGGGCAGGTCTCAACTCTGCTCAGCTTGAAGGTCACAGCTACAAGAGATAAGTCCGTTCATAGTAAATATATGAAATGGTTAGATTCTGTGAAGAATTAACCCTTAACTAAATTATTTTTTTTGTACCTATAAGAAATTGTTAAGTTGAATTGTGGCTTACGGATTCGAGATCCATTGCTGTGACGGAACAAACCAGTGTAGATACCAGACCCCAACATCTTGCCCTTGACTTGACATACATCATTCAGTAAATGGTCATTAAAAGATGGTGGCCTTAAAAAAAAAGAATACATTAAAAAAAATTATTTATAACAATAGAGTAAGTCAACTTTTATGAGATACCCCCCCCCCCCCATATTAAAAACATATTGATTTGTTAATGTTTTTGTAAACATTAGAATTGAAAGCAAATCCAACATTAGTTTTGTTAATATGGACTGGGTTGACATGGTTGTGAAGCTTACTTTTGTTGGCATGGACTGGGTTAATATGGAGATTCAACAGGTTGTGAAGCTTACTTTTGTTGGCATGGACTGGGTTAATATGGAGATTCAACAGGCTGTGAAGCTTACTTTTGTTGGCATGGACTGGGTTAATATGGAGATTCAACAGGTTGTGAAGCTTACTTTTGTTGGCATGGACTGGGTTAATATGGAGATTCAACAGGCTGTGAAGCTTACTTTTGTTTACATGGACTGGGTTAATATGGAGATTCAACAGGTTGTGAAGCTTGCTTTTGTTGACATGGACTGGGTTAATATGGAGATTCAACAGGTTGTGAAGCTTACTTTTGTTGGCATGGACTGGGTTAATATGGAGATTCAACAGGTTGTGAAGCTTACTTTTGTTGACATGGACTGGGTTAATATGGAGATTCAACAGGTTGTGAAGCTTACTTTTGTTGGCATGGACTGGGTTAATATGGAGATTCAACAGGTTGTGAAGCTTACTGTTGTTGGCATGGACTGGGTTAATATGTACAGGTTGTGAAGCTTACTTTTGTTGGCATGGACTGGGTTAATATGGAGATTCAACAGGTTGTGAAGCTTACTTTTGTTGGCATGGACTGGGTTAATATGGAGATTCAACAGGCTGTGAAGCTTACTGTTGTTGGCATGGACTGGGTTAATATGGAGATTCAACCGGTTGTGAAGCTTACTTTTGTTGGCATGGACTGGGTTAATATGGAGATTCAACAGGCTGTGAAGCTTACTGTTGTTGGCATGGACTGGGTTAATATTGAGATTCAACAGGCTGTGAAGCTTACTGTTGTTGGCATGGACTGGGTTAATATGGAGATTCAACAGGCTGTGAAGCTTACTTTTGTTTACATGGACTGGGTTAATATGGAGATTCAACAGGTTGTGAAGCTTACTTTTGTTGACATGGACTGGGTTAATATGGAGATTCAACAGGTTGTGAAGCTTACTGTTGTTGACATGGACTGGGTTAATATGGAGATTCAACAGGTTGTGAAGCTTACTTTTGTTGGCATGGACTGGGTTAATATGGAGATTCAACAGGTTGTGAAGCTTACTTTTGTTGACATGGAATGGGTTTACATGGAGTTGATGTTTTTTGGGGGGCGAGATGACTCGTAAGACTGTCATCGCAATCTTCTTCCTTAGAGCTGCTTGTGATATCATCATCTTCAAGATTTTCAACATTTTCATCTTCAGATTTCCTCGACAGGCGGGAGTTTGGAATAAATAGCTTGTCTGAGGGCAACATTAAACAATGAATTAATTACAAAATAATTAGAGCACAAAATCTATATTACATTTAAAAAATTTTAAACTTGCATTATCGAATGTTAATTTTTCTATATTAAGTAATGTAAACGAAGCAAACAAATTTTTAAAATTTAGTAATTAAATTAGTTAAACATTGTTATTTCCCTTTTCTCAACTTGCAAAAAAATGTATAAAAAATAAACTAATTACGTATTTTACAATTATAAAACTATATATATTCTTGTAGGGAAGTGATTGAACTAATACGACTTTTATGACCCAAACTGAAATCTCAACATTTTTGCAAATGAGATATCCTGATTTGCATAATTTATGCATGTAATATTTTTTAAACCTAGTATAAACACATCTTACTAGCAACATTTTCTTAAATTTTGTGATTGTTGAAGCCTAAATAAGTCCTAATCCATATTTGAACGAGTGTGGAAAAACTGCATAAAATTTCCCCTGGGACTGCTGATGCCTTTTGACATATTTGAATGTCACATATTTTTAAAGCATTTTTAGGGGTCACTAGGTAAGAAAAATTATTTTAAATGACAGAACACATTAAACTAGAAATGGAAGCCATTAAATTGGCAAGATGAGCAAATAATAACAATAATAAAGTTTATTTGAAAATCATGCTACATCCCCAAAGGCTCGAAGCGCGGTAAAAAGTCAACCATATCAAAAGAGAAATGAAAAAAACCCTGTATTATACCATATTGAAATACAAAACGCAACATTATAAAAACTACATACGAGAATACCTATTCTAAGTCTTTCATACCATGCAAACATAAACAACACAGGCCAATTTACATCTAGGAGATAATAGCCAGCTGGAAAAGATGGTAGACAACATCCCCCCAGCAGGTGTTTGCGAAATAGATGTGTTTTCAATTCGATTTTGAAAGACTCCAGTGTCTGGCTGTTTATAAGAGCGTCAGGAATTGTGTTCCAAATTGTTGGGCCATCAAATGCGAAAGTGCGCCGTCGGTAAGTCTCAAGGCGAACACGTCTTATAGAGAGTTTGCCACTATCGGATGAGCGGAGTTGTCTAGTGGGTATATTTATTTATTTATTTATTTAGGCATTTTTATATAGCGCTTATCATAAAGCTCTAAGCGCTTTACAATTATTAAAACATGTAAACTAAGTAAATACAAATGAGACACTAGGATAGTAACTACTATTCTATAGAAACAATGAAAATGGCTATAAAACGAGGACACTTTGACACTTCAGGATCAACCCGAAACAGAAAATGAGGTAGGGCAAGGAGGGTGCATCACAGGTCATAGGCGGACCTAAACAGATGAGTTTTAAGGGACTTTTTGAAAATGGACGAGGTTTCACTATGACGTATATGGAAGGGGAGCTGGTTCCAGAACGTGGGCCCATGGAAGCAGAAGGAGCGTTCACCGATGGTCTTAGTTTTAGTTCTTGGGATTGAGAGGGTTCTACTGTCAATGGAAGAACGTAGTTGTCTTGTGGGGATGTAAGGAAGCAATTTCCCCTGATCAGCAATCAGTCATCATGAGCACTTTGAGATAGGACGGCGCCAGGTCATGCAAGCAGCTGTAGCACAGAGTTGCAATTTTGTACTCTATGTGAGCGCTTTTTAATTTTATCCAGGAGCGTAGCTGGGAGACCCACCGTGAGAGCATTGCAATAGTCCATGCGTGATAGCACGAATGCAGACATCAGTCTCTTTGTTGCATCAAACGTTAAGAAAGGTCTAATATGACTAATTCTACGCAGCTCTAGAAAAAGCGCCTTGCAAAGCATGTTAATGTGATTTTCTAAAGTTAGTGTTCTATCCAAGAAGACACACGAATAATGTGAGAAGCAATCTGATTAGCTGGTATGATGACCAGCCAGCCAATCTGAAGCTTTTGTCTTTCTTGCCATAACACTCTTGGCCAATAGATCAGACCAGCCGTCTCAAGAGGGGCAAAAAATTCTTGAATATCAAAGTGAGAGCTCATGTCACTCTTTTGTTAAGCCATGTGTCAAAAGTAACTTGCATAACCTCTTTACGCGAAGAAAACCAGGGCAATTTTGGGCTTGAGTAGTAACCATTAGCTATATTTTGTTTGAGGGAGAGAGAGAGAGACGCAAAAAAAAAAAAATCAAGTTACCCTGGGTTTCTTGTAGATCAGCCCTGGTGATTTTGGAGTCCTTCAGGTAACTGACGTTAGGCAGTAATGAATCTGAGTCAGCACTGTTTTTGTGTTGCTGGCTTCTGGGACTTAGCTCCTGACTTGTCTGGCTACTGCCTTGACCCACTTTTAACACTTCAGACAGTAGGTCATAAAATTTTGCCTGTGCCGGAAATAGTAATAAGTTGTCAAAATGTCTGACCTTTTAAAAACAAAATAATTCATTTTCAGAAAGAATTCCTTTTTTTTTTATATGAAGCACTACCGGACTTTTATCACTGATTTATTCTGTCAGAAAATTAATTATTATAATAAAAGTTTCACAACCAATGGACATTAAAACATCCCAGAGATTTTTTTCACCCAGCCCC